GCTTGGGTTTAAAATTTTCACCACTAGGTATGAGCTTGATAAGCTTGATCAGGTTGTTTCACCTCTCTGGGCCATTACACACCCATCTGTAATGCAGGAGAGAGAATTCCCAACTCGGTCTTGCAGTGAGGACTACATGAAAGGGCATTATAAATTACCTACTACTCTGCCTGAATGTAACTTGTCATCACTAATTGGTAACTCTTATTCATAAGAGCCAACATTTATTGAGTACTGATAAAAGTGGAACTCTACTTTTACAACAACAATCTTATTCAATCCCTAATATTGCTACATAATATAGGCATTACTAAAATCATCCCCAATGTATATGTAAGAAACTGAGGCATACGGAGATTAAACGACTTGCCCAAGAACAAGTATGTGGGATGCCAGGATTCATACACCAGGAGCCAGATTCCAAAGCCTATAGACTAAACCACATACCTAACATAAATTAAGAGATGCAACTGCCAAATTACAAGTCTACCCTGAACACTAGCTATGGCTGAGAAACCTATTATGCCACATCTCAGCTTTTTAAAGGTAGGCAGACTCTTGAAAACACTGATTTTCTTAGAAGTTTTACTGTGCGAACACAAGGAATTCATGTGTCACTATGCTGCAATGGTATTATTACAATGTCTTAGAATGTCATCTTTGGCAAATTCTCCCTAGTGTTTATTTTTGGTATTGGATACTGATGTTAATGAAGGCAGAACGTATTTCTGTAGTTGGGGAAAATCTCTTTACTGTATTTGAACCCCCTGCCTCCTTTTAGATTCGCAAAGCTAATCAGTTTTCTCTTACATGAAGCAAGGTTTAGTCTACCCAATTTCAGTAGCCAGACATAACAAATTCAATAAATTCCCAGGTGGTAGTTTCTTAGTCACAAAGACTAGGAGAGACAAAAGGTTGGATGAGCATGGAAAGATCATAGAACATGGAGTCAGAATACCTGGGTTATTCACTCTCACTAAACAGCCCAGGGAATATAGGCAAAACATTTTTGCTTCTCAGGAAATCAGTCTCCTGATATTTAAAAAGTAAATATTTAAGCTAGATTATCTCTCTGATTTCCTCCAGTTCTGCGTTCTGTAATTCTTCATACATTCGGTCGTGCACTCGCCTCCTTTACAAAGTCCCAGACTAGAACAAAGGACTCAAATGCTCATGGAGTAAGACATCGCATCGCCTCCACCACTGACATGTACAAAGGAAAAAAATGCTAACACTACAGATTTGGATATTCACCCAGGCAATGGTGAGATTTAATTTCAGCAGAGAGCTTCCATATCACATAATGGTGTTTCATTGCACTACGTTTTACTTCCCTTAGCAAATAAAGTACACAGGAAAAAAATTGAAAAGAACATACATTGTTTTATTGTCTTGTGAAACTGCTGGGTTTCAAGCCAATAGAATGCCTTAATGCTCAAGTTCTCAAGGGTGATACAGAGTGCAGAGCATCTCTGTTTGTGAAGCTAAATTTAATAAACAGAGTAATCCCCTGGCAGGCCCTGGGATTTTTCTAATATCCTGATGGTGTCAAGGGAAAAGGCCCTGATATGTGAAAAATAGCATAAGACCTTACAACCAAGACTTACTAGAAACAATTGCCCTTTAATTGAGGCATCTACTTTTCACATGTTGTGATGCTGAATTGGACATAATTTTAATTGTATGCGCAGTTCACACACCATGGCTGCTGTCCACAGATCATGGTGCTGAACTAGCAGAAGTCTAAATTCATAGGTGCCCACTCCAGTGGCGGGACACAACGACCACTGTCTTGATCAGTTATAAGGACATCTTTATCATTCCACACCCCTACAGGGTGCTTTAAATGCACACTGGCAAAATTTCTTCTAAGACATTGTATCATGTTACTGGAACATCATCATCATTATCATCTCTACTGTTTTTGACAACTTATTATGCCCCAGGCAGTGATAAGTATTTTACAAAATATGTGCTGTTCATATATGTTAGTCCTATAGTGATGCCTCTATACAAAACACTGTCTGTCCTAGGTCAAGTTTCCTAGACCTGGGGGGAGGGGTATTTCTTGTACAAGGGATTTATTAATAGACTGCTCTCAGGAGAAAGGGATAGAGGGAAGTTGGGTACAGCATAGGAAAACCTAAGCAACAGTGAGAGACCAGATTCAGTCTGATTCTATGAGGAAAGGTGGAGTACAAACTGCACTGCAGAGCTGGCCTCACCTCGAGGCAAGGGATGAGCCTTTTAGCATTCTATGTCAGTCATCCTTTAGCTGTAGATCTACTGGTGGAGGGAGCTCCCAACAGGCCAGGAAAGTCTCCAAAGAGGGCAGTAGTGAGCTGTTGGCAGCCTAAATTTGCAGAATCTCAGAGGAGGTGTGCCTGCGTAGGCGGGCAGAATCTACTAAGCTGCTAGAGATCCACCCAGATTCTCAGACTCTGTTCACCATTTTCTTATACTCTTGTTCAGTTAACTGGTGCATAAAAAGTCACCCTCAAACTTAGTGACTTAAAACAGGAACAATCATTTATTGTGCTCATGACTTTACAAATTGAAGCAAGGGAGGCTCATCTTGGTTCCATGCAGCATCAGGTAAAGTGGCTCAACTGGAGATTCTACTCTCTGGAGGACTCATTCACATGCTTGACAAGCTAGTGCTGGCTGTCAGCAGCAGCTTTGCCAGGTCTGAAAGCTGGGGTCTTTGGTTTCTCCCTACGTGAGTCTCTCCATGCAGCCTTGACTTCATTATGTGAGTCTCTCCATGTGGCCTAGACTTCATTAAAACCGTGTGGCTGGGCTCTAAAAGCTAGTGTTCCAAGAGAGAACATTGCCTCTTATGACCTAACCACAAAAGTTTATATAAAGCATTCCTTCTGCTGCTGCATGTTCATCATTTGTGAAGTCAAGAGAAACTTCAGATTCTCCCAAAACTCATATGGGAGAAGGTCCTTGAAGAGGTTGTAGTATAAGAACTATTGTTGTAGCCATTTTGAGAAAAATACCAATTTGGAACATACATCTCATCACCAGTTCTCTGTCTTTTTATATTAATGACATATTTGTGACTCTCTTGGGAGCACTGCTGAGAGACCCAGAAGTGCTCAGAAGTATAACCCTTCTCAGGCATTCCTAGCCAATAAATGCCTGGGGCATAGCATGAAAACTCCTAGCTGCAAGCAGAGGCAAAGTCAGAGATATAATTTACATTCCATAGCTTCCGTGCAGGATAAGGCCAAGGTTTGGACTTCCCTGAAATCACACCATTGCTTGGCTTATTCCCCTTCTCTGTTTTCTTCACTCCTTTTCCAGTTTCTACTGGGAGCTCTTCTTTGATTGTCTGCACAGAGATCCTCATCTCAGAATCTGCCTCTGGACAGCTTGCTATGACAGCCTCCCTCATAGGAAGTTGTATCACTTATCCACTACGTGGCTTATCTAATATTTAGACAAGTTTCACCTTGTGATCTCCTATTTTGTAAAGTTTCTCTTTGATACCATCATTCACCTTTATGCTTGGTTCCCTAAGGACTGGATTGTGCTGCATTTTCTCCAATTCCCAAAAATAATATAATTAAGAGGATGAATACTGTTTAACACTTACTATGTGCTGGACATTGTTAACCTCTTTACAGTCATTATCTCACCTAATTATCAGAACAATTCTCATGGAGACAATTCTTTTATCACCCTCATTGTATAAATAAGGACTATGATGTTCAGAGACAAGGCCATTCTTGTACACATCTCGGTAGGAGCCAAGAATAGAACAGTCTGTGTAAAAACACCCTCCAGGAATTGAGGGCAAGTAGTACCCCCTAGAATTGTGTAGTATATTAATGTTTTTTAGAAGACACAGAAACTTCCCCAAAACTGAGCTGAGGAGGATCAGAGGATGGATTTGACTATTGGCTTGATTCCAAAATTCTTGCCCTGGCAATTAAGACAAAATGCTTTCAAAGGTTTATGGGTTATTTTTTAACCTTTTTCTTTTATCCAAAGTACCTTTTTTTTTTTTTTGAGAGAGAGAGAGAGAGGTTTGTTTTGGTTTTGGTTTGGTTTGGTTTGGTTTGGCTATAGAGCGCATGTGCTCACCGGAGAGAAAGAGAGTGACAGAGAGACAGAAAGTGAGAAATCACCCCTCGGGGGGAATGGCCATGCCACAATCCTTCCCCCTTTCTTCTTCTCTCAGGATTTTGAGCAAGCATGCACACACACCTGGCGTGAGTCTTAAACCACTGGGTCTGGGACTCTAACTGCAGTCGACCTCTTGGGAGTTCAGCAACACAACCATCACACCATCTGCTGGTCCTAAAGTAGGGTTTTTAATGGTTATGTTCCTTGTATGATGATGAAAATGGTGTTTTAATTGCTAGCAGGTGCATGTACTTGGGAAAGAGAGAATGAAAGAGAGAAAATGAAAGCAACCCTCCGTCAGTGAGGTATGGTCATGCCACAATCTTGTTTCTCCATTCCATCAGTATTTTTGGCATGGATTCACATGTTCCCTGCATGTTTTTCAAACTGCTGCGACTGGAATTCATAACGTAATTGACCTTATGGGAATCAGCTTTCTGCGTATAACTCTCACTGCTGTGCTACAGAGTCAACCTGGAAATATTTCTTTTTTTTTTTTTTTTGAGAGGTTTTTGCTATAGGGCGCATGCGCTCACCAGACAGACAGAGAGAGAGACAGAGAGACAGAAAGCGAGAAATCACCCCCCAGAGGGGATGGTCACGCCGCAATCCCTTCTCCTCCATTCTCCTCTCGGGATCTTGGGCACGCACGTACACGTGCCCGGCGTGAATTTTAAGCCACCAGGTCCGGGACGTGAACCGTGGTCGACTACATGGGAGTCCAGTGACATAGCCATTACGCTAACTGCTGGTTCCCAACCTGGAAATATTTCTAATCATAATTAATTAAACACTTGTGTACTTAAAAGTGGCCTGCCTCATTCTTTGGCCAAAGTCTATGAGGGGGTCTTCACAAGATTTACCTGAGTAAGAAGGCCATCTTCAAAGGGAGTTGAATGGGAAGTTGCCAGGAAAGGCACTGGAGCCCTGGGGAGCTGAAGACAATATAAATGTTCTGCAAAGTGCAGCTACATCTTTCCTTCCTGATTTTCTAGCTGTCTGCCTCACTCACTGCTTTCTCTGCAACAGGTACCTCCGCAATTGTGATGGAGGATGACACGCCCCTGCATGATGCCTCAACTCAAGTGTCAGTCCCCCAATCTACAAGATTGAAGTTTCAGTTCCAGAAATTGCTGTTTTCAGAAGTGACGTGGTTGGAGCACTGTGCCCTTGAGGAAAGAATCCCACATGAATCTCCTGAGGTAAATGACAGCCCTTCCTTAGGTAGTAAGAGCCTGGATATTGGGTTTGTTTTTTTGTTTGTTTTTGTTTGTTTGTTTGTTTGTTTGTTTGAGAGGTTTTTCCTATAGGACGCGTGCGCTCACCAGACAGACAGAGAGAGACGGAGAGACAGAAAGCGAGAAATCACCCCCAAGAGGGGATGGCCACGCCGCAATCCCTTCTCCTCCTTTCTCCTCTCAGGATCTTGGGCACGCACGCACATGCACCTGGTGTGAGTTTAAGCCACCGGGTCCGGGACACGAACTGCAGTCGACTACATGGGAGTCCAGCGACATAGCCATTACACTAACTGCTGGTCTCTATTGGGCTCTTAATAGCAGGCAGAAAGTGTTTGAACCCTGGCTCCCACAATTTATCAGTCATGTCATCTAAATGTTGGAAGCCTCAGTCTCCTCATCTATAAGATCAAGACTCATTTGATTGTTGTGAAGGTAAATGGGAGAGTATTTTAAACATATTGAGCCATTGGTTCTATTCATGTTGTTGCTAATCATCTCTATTACTAGTCAAAAATCCATTCTAGGTTCACAACCATCCGCTTTGCTTTTACTTGGATCAAAAGCTCAAAATAACTTGATTATCTCTTAAATTCTTGGGTTTCATTGTAAGTTTTCACATTTCTGATAACCTCTCATCTTACAATATCCCCCAATAAACAGAAACACACACACACACACACACACACACGTACAAACCAACTCATGGAAATGTTTAGATCATATTGTCCAGGTCAATCTACAGAGTCCACAATAAATCCCAGGGAGGTGGATTGCAGCTGGTGAGTGACAAGGCTGAAGTCACAACTGCAAGGAGGGGCCAATAGGTGGCATGGAAGTTAAGGCACTGAATTCCCACATGGCCAACTTTCCTGTTCAAGTCCCAGACTCAGTGGTTTGAAAATCACATCAGGCATGTGTGTATGTGTGCCCAAAAATCTCAAGAAGAGAATGGATAAAAAAGGATTGTGGCATGGTCATCCCACCTAAAGGGATGGCTTCTCACTTTTCTTCTCTCTGTCTCTCTTCAGCGAGCATACGCACCCTATAGCAAAAACCTTTTTTAAAAAAAATGCAAGGAAACCATTGCCTGAAAGCTAGCATATGATTATTTTTTTGGAATGATCACACTGTCTTACATCTGTGACATTCAGCATTTATCTGCTTCCTATGACATTTGTTAGCTCATATGACCCTCTCAATCACTTACATGTCAGAAATAATTATTGAGCAAAGTGACTTGCCCACGGTCACCTAGTCACTAAGAAAAGAAGCTCAGGGAACCAGCAGTTAGCGTAATGGCTGTGTCGCTGGATTCCCACGTAGTCGACCGCGGTTCACGACGTCCCGGACCTGGTGGCTTGGAACTCACGCTGGGCACGTGTGCGTGCGTGCCCAAGATCCCAAGAGGAGAATGGAGGAAAAGGGATTGCGGCATGACCATCCCCCCTGGGGGGGGGGCGTGATTTCTCGCTTTCTGTCTCTATTTGTCTCTCCGTCTCTCTGGTGAGCGCACGCGCCCTATAGCGAAAACCTCTCCAAAAAGACAAGAAAAGAAAAGAAAAGAAAAGCTCAGACTCAGACCCAATGGCAGACCCAGTTGCATTTGCCTCCAAGCCTGGTGTGCTTTTCCCTTACCTCTTTGCTACCCAGCTTACTTGGAGCATTTAACAGCAGATATTCTCCTGTAGCTGACTGATTCTAGGGCAGATAAGTAATAACCCAGCAGGTCCCACCAGGCGTTGTTGAGTTTAAGATGTTGCAGCAAAAAGAGCTGAAGGAGAGAGGCAAGTACTCTCCCTACCACCACTCCAGGAGCCTGATACATCCCTGCGCTCACAGATGTCACCATTAATGTCCTTTCCCCCAGAAGATTCAGGCAGGAGATCTGGGCAAATCCATCATGGCCCTGAACATAATGTTGATGAATGATCTCATTAACCTGGCAGCCTGTACCATGTCAACAGCAGCCTCAATCTCTTGTGTGAAGCCTGGCTCAGCATTCTTACTCTTCTCCCATCCCCAGTGAAACTCCCACCCCAGGCCCAACCCCCAGCCCCCAGCCATACAAAGTACCAGGCTAGGGTGCGCCATATAATTGCTTGCCTCTCACACAAACCTGGCAGTTGGCTCATACCAACTTCAATCACACAGACAGCAGGATGAGATGATGTGTCCAAGTTCCAAGGAACTTCAACTCAGGTGTGACTGACCCAAAGCCCTGCTCTTATCTCAACACCATGCTAACTTTTCTAGGCAGTTTTCAATAGTTTGAAAAGCCCTTTTTAATATTTTTTATTAAAATAAAGGGGGAAAAAAGGAAGGGAAGGGACTCTGGCCCATGGAGCTTTCTCAGGTGAGTAAGGCCCACCAGACCCTGAAGCTAAGTCACACAACACCTTTGCTCTGACATGTACAGCACGCACGACTTTGGTTTGTTTCCCTAATCAGTCACTTCCTAGCTATGTGGGCTTGGACAAGATCTTAGCCTCCCTAAGCCCCACCTTTCACAAAATAGAGGACATCCTAGTTCTCACTCTCAAAAATGGTGGCAATTAAATAAGCTAAGATATGCAAACACTGACACAGTGCTGGGCATGCTCAGTAAGAGGAAGGAGCTGCTGGCATTGTGGTAGTGAATTCTGTTGTGATCATCACAGATCAGCTGCTTGAGGTTTCTGGAACACTTCTGCAATGATAATACAGGGATATGGAGGAGGTCTTGCCCCCATTTTCTGAGAGACCTTAAGCAAACAGCCTTAAGCTCATGGACCTCCAAGTCCTAAACCTTCCAGTCAGAAGCCAGATCCTGCAGCAGCCACCCTTTCAGGACATGATATTTATGTCTACTTTTCCTCTACTAAGTCAAGTGCGATTGCACTGATTATTTGATTATTCCTATGGTGGTAAGCATTGCTATTACTTCCTCTTATCTATTGAAAACTAAGGATTAGAGAAATTGATGGAGACTTGTTCAAAGGCGTATGTGGCCAGTATGATGCTGCGAGTCAAGCCCTGACCTCCCAGACACCTGATGCTCTGCTCTGTCCACCACACTGTGTTCTGGACAACAGCCAGCCAGGGGGCTGGAAGTGGAGTATGACAAAGCAAGGAGCAGTGGCTGGTGTTAGAGAGGCCGGGATTTGAAGGCACATGTGGGTCCTCTAAGTGCCTGACCCCATGTTTGCTACTTGTCACCTTTGAGAGGCATTGCCTTTAGTGTCTCCCAGTCATGTTCTGAAAATAAAATGGGATCAATAAGAGAGCCAAGTCTGACAGAGCTCATAATATGTGAAGTGTCATTCTTAAAGAGGCAGAATGCAACATAGGAATGACATTTCTAACAAAGCAAATATCCCAGAAACCTGTTTATGGGTTAAAGGGACATTGGACCAGTGAAAAGAGAACTGGGAAGTGGGTGGCAAGGGTAGACCAATGATCTCACGAGTCCAACAACCAATGTCACCACTGCATGCATCCTTCTGATCTGATCCTCTGTCCCTTGTCCTTCAGTCCCTTCAGCTCAAATTCCACCAAGACTTATGGCTTCAAATAACCCAATTTGTTGCTGGCCCCATGGCCTACTGGGTTGACACAGTCAACCATGAGGTTTGAATCCCAGCTCCAGCAACTTGAAAAAATCCCTGTGGGTGCATGTAGGCACATGCCCCAAATCCAGACAGGATGGAGAACTGGAGGAGAAACTGGTGTGACCACGCCCCACTGGAGGGTGCTTTCTCCTTCTCCCTCTCCCTGTCTCTTCCTCTCTCCTCTCTCTCTTTCTCCCTCTCTCTCTCTCTTTCTCTCTCTCTCTCTCTCTCTCTCTCTCTCTCTCTCTCTCTCTCTCTTTCTCCCCTCTCTCATGAGTGCATGTGCCCTCTGGCAATTAAAAAAATAGTAATCATCCAATCTTGCCACTTAAACTGTCTGGCCAAGTAGAAGTTCATTCCCTGAGTCTCAGTCTCCTTATCTATGCAATAGGAATATGAACCATTAACAGAGCAGCTGTGAGGATTCCTCAAGATTATTAGCGTGACACAATCCCTGGAATGTAATTAGTGCCCAATAAACAGATGTAGTTTTATCATCACTGGTGAAAAAAGCAAGTAGATTTGATCATTATAAAAAAAGAAGAAGAAGAAAAGAAAAAAATCCAGAGCTCAGCCTGCCGGGCAATAAGCTGCCCAGAGTTCTCCCTGTCCCGGGAGAGGAGATACAATGAGATCAGCTCTCAAAAGGATTGCTGAGTCCTTCCTCCCCTATGCTTTCCTCCAATCCTGAACCCAACTTCACCCAAGACCGCTAAGTGCATTGGCCACAAATTCTCTATGGAGTTTCTGTGTTCAAATAATCTGGCACCAACTTCTGCTTTGTCTGACCCCTTGCTCTGTAAGATGAGAATTTCATGAATTTCTCCAAGTCAAAGGTTGTTGTTGCAACCTGAAACACCCACCGGGACACCTTTGTGTTTGGCCTCCAGGAACCCACTCACAGAGGTTGACCTGAGCAAGAAACAACAACTTTCCACCTTCTCTTTGTTGGATCCACAAGCCCAGGCCTATTACAAGGCTTGGAGTTTTCATGGAAACCTGACTTAAAGTGCCGGACATCACTAAATACCAGTGGCCTTTATCTACCTTTCCTTATGCACCTGGAGCTCAGCTAAGAGCTTCATCTGGTCCTACTCATAGGATCTTCAATACTGAAAGGCAAATACTCTTGCTCTCTCCATGTTATAGATTAG